CTGAACCGCCTCTCCAACCCACAGACAGCTTTTCCCCAGGTCCTCTGCATGCATCTGGTGAATAGATATAAGTGAGAAAATTTTAAAAAGGCTTATATTTATGAAGTTGAAAAATAATAAAACCACATATGCCCTTTTGAACAGTTGTGTTTCAAAAACAACGGCACTGCCAGGCGGGGGTGGCACATGCCTTTTTAATCCCAGCACTTGGGAGGCAGAGGCTGGCAGATCTCTGTGAGTTCAAGGTCAGCCTGGTCTACAGAGCTAGTCCCCGGACAGCCAGGACAACACAGAGAAACCCTGTCTTGAAAAACCAACCAACAGAAAGCCACAATGGCACTAAAATGCTGTGTTGACGTAATAGAACAAATTTCTTTTGTTTAAAAAAGAAATGCTCCAAGAAATGAAAGGAAGGTGGGGAGTCAACAGCCTTCCTTCTTCCAGGGGCCGTCCCGGAAGAGCCTCTCACAATGTCAGCTGCAGAGCAAACAGCACTGTGTTAGGTGTAACCCAAAGTCAATACCTGTGAGTTGATGCTGATGTAAAATAAAGATTGAGTAAATAACTATGGGAGAGCAGATAAATCCTTACAGAAGAATTTCAAATAATACCTGTGGCTACGGCACCCTTTAGGGCGTGTGTGATAAAACACTATGCAACTTATCATAAAAGTAAAAAGAGTGTTCTGGTTGTTTGTTTGTTTTGTATTGCAGTTCCAGAGGGAGAGTCCAGGAAGGCAGGGAGGGTGTGACAACAGGCTGGGTTAGGGAGCTGACTGTTTAGTTTGTCATTCAGGAAGCTCAGAGAGCTAACTGGAAGTGGGGCAAGGCTACAGACTCTCAGGGTAGGTTCCCAGTGAGCATGCTTCCTCCATCAAAGTCCCATACTATTCCTCCAAAAAGAGCCACCAATTGGGGAGCAAGTGTGCAAACACCTGAGCCTATGGAGGACATCTGTCATTTAGACCACCCCAGGAAGCAACATATATCCTGGTCTTCTCCCTTTGCGTGTAGGCTCAACTTGGTGGCTTCCTTCTAAGAATGAAGCTATAGAAGGGATCGGGTGGTGGTGGTGCATGCCTTTAATCCTAGCACTTGGGAGGCAGAGACAGGCAGATCTCTGTGAGTTCAAGGCCAGCCTGGTCTACTCTACAAGAGCTAGTTCCAGGACAGGTTCCTGAAGCTACAGAGAAACACTGTCTCGAAAAACAAAACAAAACAAACAAACAAAGATATGGAAAGGGACAACAGTAACTTCTTGGAAAGGCCTGGCCGGTGCTACCTTGGCACTAACATCAGTGACATCACTGTGATACGCAAGGACCCCTAGTGCAGTGTAACCAAGCCAGAACCCCAGGCTAACGGTGACAACTGCACCAGAGAAGCCCAGTTGGAGACATTTTTTTAAAAGTACTGAAAAACCAGCCCAGCCCAGAGGCGACAGAGTTGTGGTAACTCCAGTTCACGTGGTAGCCTGCACCTGACCTTGAACACGTAAGGACACTAGTGGGAAAATTAAACCCAGAGCTGGGGAGATGGCTCAGATGCTAAGGACACTTGTTACTTTTTCAGGGGGCCCTAGGTTTGTCTCCCAGCACCCACAGGGTGGCTCACATCCATTTGTAACTCCAGCTCCCGGAGGATACAGTGCCTTCTGACCTCCGTGGGCACCAGGTATGCATGCGGTAGACATACAAACGTGCAGGCAAAACTCATGTATAAACATAAATCTAAAAATAAAAGAGCCGGTGAGAGGCCTGGCCAAATTCTCTGCTGCTGTGACAAGCACGGCCACAAACAGTCTGGGGAGGAAGGGGCTTAGTTCCAGGTCACAGTCCCAGTCAGGGGAAGCAGGGGCAGAAGCAGAAACCACAGAAGGCAGCGGCTTCACTAGTTGGCTTTCCAGGACCATCTGCCCAGGGGAAGTACCCACCACAGTGGGCTGGGTCTTTCCACGTCAGTCAGCAGTCTAGAAAATGCTCTCATACACTGCCCAGTCTGATGGGAGCATCTTCTCAATGGAGGGTCCCTCTTCCTAGATGACTCCAGCTTGTGTCAAGTTGGAAAAAAAAAAAAAAGAATCGGCACGCTAATAGCAGGGTATCTTTGTTTCTTGGAGGGCACAAATGCACAGCTGCAAGGTGAGATGGTAGGGAAAGGAGGTGAGTATGTGATGAGAGCTGTCACACTGTCACAGAGCGGTGGTGGCACACGCCTTGAGTCTCCACATTTGGGAGGCAGAAGCAGGCAGATCTCTACGGAGGTGGACAGTCTACAGAGTGAGTTCCAGGATGGCAGGGGCTACACAGAGAAACCCTGTCTCGAAACAAAAATAACAAGTAAAAATGTTCACTGAAATACATACATCCTTTAATTACTCAACATGCAAACAGCAAGCCCTGGATGCCAGCCAGTGCAATCAGTCATTAGGGCGTGAGCCACAGGGGCACCCACCTTTCCCAAACGGTAGTCGTTTAATCCCCACTAAATGGCACAGAACACTGAGTAGATCCAGACCAGCCAGAGCAGGATGGATCTCTCTGAGTTCAAGGCCAGCCCGGTCTACTTAGAGAATTCCAGGTCAGCCAAAGTTACATAAAGACCTGTCTCAAAAAAAACATTATATTCCTGCTTTGCTCCAATGAAGACTTCATATTTGTGTGATGTTGCAGAGGCTGAACAAATAAAGCAAATGAAGCAAAGGAGATGAATTACAAAAAAAAAAAGTCATCTTTTTTCTCTTAAAGCTGGGTGAGATGGTTCCTTTTTAGGGAGTGGCTAGGCCAGCTGCCCAGGATTCCTCCTAGACCAGGATAAAAGGCCAGCCTGGGCAACTGCAGGGACAGGTGTTCCCCTCCTCCAGGAACAACGCTGGTCCCTGCGGTCCTCTGGAGCCGAGGTCACCTTTCTATGAACAACCAGCTTGTTTGAGGATTTTCTCCCCACCCAGTTCAGCCACTGAGTAGAGGTGGGTGGGTGACAGCACTCTTTCTGGTCATAACCATGGACTCAGAGGAGGGCACGTGACACTGTCCAGCCGACTGGAGCTCAGCTCCCAACTCTCCACTGAAACGTCCGGGTTAGTGCCCCTCATTGGTCTGGCCACCCCTCTTTCATCACAGCGTCACTCTTGTTTGTTTGGTTATTGGTTGCAGCGGTGCGGATTGAACCCAGGGCCTTGTGCATGCTAGGCAAGCCTCTGCTGCTCGGCTACATCCCCTGCACCTTGCTTTACCTTCCTCTCTCATTCTTGCATACAGTCGTTTAGGATCGTTCAGTGTCTTTGGGTCAGGATCGAGTCGGGGTATAGCAGGGTGGCTTGTCTGTGGCCTGACGTCACAGGCCTCAGCTAGAAGACCCTGAAGGAAGACCCTGAAGACCCTCATGTACCTTCATGGCTCTGAGTCAGCTCATGCCATTCTGTGTGCCAACATCCAAGATTTTGTCTGCCGGGATAGACTGGGTGACCAAGGTTTCCTTACAACACGGTAGGGGAGCTTTCTCACAAATGGCTTTTTATTCTGAGAGGCTGTGCTGTGTTTTCCTCACGATGGAGACAAGGCAGTTCCTAGTAAATGTTCCTCAGAAGGCAGTACGCCCAGCACTGCCTTACCTGGGGATAGAACACTATCATATGCCCAGCACCTGAGACCTCTGACACTGCCCCAATCCATAGGGATCCTGGAGAAAAGACATAGAGCTGTCTTACACAGGCATTCGGTTAAGTGCAGTGATTCCGAAAGATATGCATGCATGGGAAGCATCTTGCCCTTCCAACCTTATATTCTTTTTCTTTTAAACTTAAAATATGCTGTCTTTTCTTTCTCTCTCTCTTTTTTAAAGGTAGTGCTGGGGATTGGACCCAGGTGTGTTCTAAGTGCTAAACAGACTCTTGAGAGTGTGCTGTGCCCCCAGGGCTCCTCAAAATGTGTTTCATGCATAATAAGTTCATCCCACGGGCAAATAAAGGCCTGCCGTAGGCGGGAGGCTTGCTTTTGTCACGGAAGAAACACACTACAAATTCAGGCACATTCTCCCTCAGCATAGGAGGTCCTTGTTATTGCTGCTGAAGACAAGAACCTGCTGAAGCTGATATTTTCCATGCTCCTTCTGACAGCCACATGGCATGTCGCTTCTTGCTGGGGTTGTGCGTGCTCACATTGTCAAGCTATGGAGGAAAATGCCTGGGGTTATAACCTTGCTAGAACTTAAGCAATTGAGTTTGGATACATTCAAAAAAAATAAGAAAAAAGTTTCAAATGATGCTCCATCATTGGAATGTCATGCAACAACAACAAAAAAATTGACCTAGGATTCCCGCAGTTAAAAGCTGGCTGGGTGGGAATGTCGTTCAGCCACGGAGTGTTTGCTTACTAGCATATACAGCCCCTGAGTTCCATAGGCACACAGAGGAAAACATAAGTCAAACAAATAAACAAACAAAAAAACCACCCCAATCTAGTGGTGCTGCATGCTATTCCCAATGTTGCCACAGTGTGGCGCCACTCTAGCGGGTAGGAAGAGACCTCACAGCAGCCAGGGCGCCACAGCTGGCCGAGCTGTGCAGGGACACGCTGTCTGGGAAGAGCTTGGACTCCAGAACGATTTGGGGCTATAAACAATTTTGCAGATTAGCTGAAAGAAATTGCTCTGAGAAACCAGGCACCGCAACAGTGTTTATTAGCCCATGAGCAGGAGCGAAAACTTCAGAAAGTCACAATGCTATAGAGGCTATAGAATCCACACTCCTGAGGGTCATACCCTAATTTCAGAATTAGTCTTATGGAGAAAGCATTCTTGAACTTTAGAGTTTTAGATGACACCTGTACCAAAATCAATTGGCTTTAACTTCAATTGATTAGGTCAGACTGAGCTTACTACCTCTGCTGGGAAGTACAACCAACCCCTTTTAGCCTTAGCTTCCCTGTCTGATAATTCTACCCACTGGAAATCAAAGATATTGCAGGGAGGGGGGATCACGTCTAGGACTGGAAAGATAAACCAGTAGTTGAGTGCTGACTGCTTAACCATGAGGTCCTGAATTTGGTTCCCAGCACCCACATAGCAGTCCCAGCACCCACATAGCAGTCCCAGCACCCATGTAACAAGCAGGGTATGGTCTTGATCATTGATCACCTCTGTAGCCTCAGCGTTGTCAGAGGAGGAGACAGGAATCACTGAGGTGTGCTGGAACCCAGCACAGCCAAGAAAATGAGGATCCTGGTTCAGGAAAAGATCCTGCGTCATACTCTAGAAGCGGTTTAACGCAGGCTATATAAAGGGCTCTATGAGCTAGTTTTTGGTTACTTATAATGCCTAATAAATGCAGATATTGTGTAAATGGTCGCTAAACTGGATTGTTCAAAATATAATGGCGAGGGGGAAATGTATGCATGTTCAGTGTAGACACAGTTTTTAAAGACTTTAAAAAATGCATTTTCAGCTCCTGTGTGTGGACATGTGCTCATATGCATGCCATAGTCCAGTACGCCTACAGAAGTCAGGGGATGAGCCACAGGGACATGCCATTAATCCCAGCAGAGGCCGGAATTAAGGAGGCAGAGGCAGGTGGAGCTTTGTGAGTCCGGGGCCAGCTTGGTCTTCAAGTTCAAGGGCAGCCAGGGCTGTTACACAGAGAAACCTGTCTTGAAAAAAAAAAAAGTCTGAGGCCACTGCACGAATTGGTTCTATCCCTCCACAATGTGGGTCCCCAGGAACCCAACGGTCAGCTGCGTGAGCAGGTGCCTGATCCTGTGTGTACCTGTGTGCGCGCGTGTATGTTTGTTCGAATCAGTCTTGCAAGGATACCAAGAGATGCTTATAAAGTGTCCCAAACCTTATAAAGTGTCTGTGTATGCAGCGCATACAGCAGAGTGTGCCTGGGATCTACATCGGGTGGACATCGGAGTCCCCTTCCTCTAAGTCAGGGTCGGCTGTACCTGAGCACCATCCTGATGGGAGATGCTCCGCCGAGCCGAGAGGTGTCTGTGTGGAGAGGGTGGAGGGCCGGCGCGGCTCAATAAGGTGCCCTCGCTCTTTCCTTAGCTCTGTGAGCACTGCAAAGGTCTCTGTGATTTGAAAACTGGATAGCTGGGAGGAGTCACACCTGTCTCTCCAGATAAATGTCAAGGTCCCCAGGCTACAAGGCAATGGACGGTGTCAATCAGACAGAGCTCTCAGTCAGCGATTCACTCCCAAGGGCTCTTTCAGTGAGTCAGCGGCGGGGAAAAGAGAGGCGACAACCTGTCAGCTCACCGCAAAGGCCGATGCCAGACGTTCCCCAAATCCTTGGGAAAGTGGACTATGAGAAAGAGGAGACGCAGCCTGAAAGGCACGATCTGATCGCATCTTTCGGAAAGGAAGGTGCTTTCGTTCCTGATTAAGTAGAAGGGGGAAAGGCAATTGATTCTCATAATTATATGCGAATTACACAGCTGGGCTTTTCCAAATCCCCTTTACATTTGCTATCTTCATTTATCCCTGGGCAATCTCCTGCTTTGAATGACCTTTTATGACAGCACTCATCCCCCCTCCCCCCTCCCGCGTAGTTAATGTTTAGTGTATATGTCTGGCCCTCCTGCTGGTTTTATGACCTTCTTGGGAGCAGAGACCATTGCGTCCATAAAGCCCCAGCACTTGGCACGGTATTCGTTAAGACTTGTGTTGCAATCCACAGAAACCCACTGCATGCAACTGAAAGAGAAAGCGGGCTTTGTTCTGAAGAGCCCCAGGGCAGGGGTGCAGCCACGTCTCGGGCGCCCAGGAACCAGGTCCCACAATTACTCCTATCTTGCGTCTTCCTCATTAACACCTCTCACCGTTTCTCTTCATTCGACTGAAAAGCTGGCTGCCAGCATCCGCCTAGCCAACGACCCAACTTGTCCAGCCCTGCAAGCAAAGCTTCAATCACTTTCTGGGTCCCAACCTTCCCAAGTCTCCAGGGCCTGGGCCTCTGATTGGTCCAGCCTCGGTGAGGTGTTCACTCTAGACCAATCAACTGTGGACAGAAGGGTGCGGTCCAATGGTAGGACCGAGGTTGTTCCTATGGTAACCGTGTGTGGTGGGGGTGGGGCGGCGCAGGAAGTAAGAAGGCACAGTTCCCAGAAAAGGGGAGAGGGCAGGGCTGCTGAACAATAGGGGGCTACGTTCTGGTAAATTCTTGGTGTTCTGTAAATGCTCACTGAGCTGCCTTTCTTTGAACACAGTAGGTCCCCCTTTCTTTGAACACAGTAGGTCCCCCAAACGCTGCTGAGTCCTTACGGCTCTGGTCGTTGGTGATGGCTTTTGGTATTCTGCACTCCCTTGGCCTGGCTGCTTTCTGCTCTCCCTTGGGCCTCCTTAAATGTCTTATCTGACCCGGGCTCAGAATACACTTCAAATTCGTCACCGAGGCAGGGCATGGCAGCCTGTAATTCCCGGCAATGCAGCAACGGGTAAGGTGACTTTGCAACCAGGTGGGCTACCTAGGAAGACTAAACTCACTGCCTCACCTTGTAGTTTCTCATATTAGAGCCTTCCTCAAATCCCAGTGTCAATAGTAGTCCTCAAGACTGACCCTGCCACCTGTTGATGGGGTGGATAAGAAATTAATACCGCATTGAGCAATCATTTGGCTCAATGGGAGATGTTGAGTAAATCCTTACCCATTCCTTCCCATGAAGTTTCCCGAGGTGAAATGTATCCTTGGGAGGGAGGTTCTGGGAGTCTGGGCATTCTTGCACTTGCTGCTTATCAACTCACCTCCGTTGCTTGCCGGTTCCCGCTCTCTGGGGTTGCTCTTCCTTAAGAATGAGGGGCCAAATGGGCCTTTATTTCCAGTTCTGCTCCCTAGGGAGCTAGGGATGTCCTAAGAAAACTTATTGGTCATAGTAGTCACAACATTTAAACAGTGCTGAGAGATGGCTCAGCAGCAAAATAGCTTGCCGTGCAAGCAGAAAGATATGAGTTCAAATCTCCAGAGCCCACATAAAAGCCAGATGCATAGCACAAATGTCTCTACATCCAGCACCTATTTGGGAAGAGGGAAAGTGGAGATAGGACAGGAGAATCTCTGGGAGCTTGTGGATCAGTGAGCCTGGAGTACGCTATGAAAAAACAGCAGAGACTCTCTCAAACGAGGTGACAGGCAAGCCAGCACCCAAGGACAAGGTTGTCCTGTGATCTCCACCCTAGTGCCACGGTGTGCACATGCCTGTGTGCGTGCGCCCACACACAGCACACACACACACATACACACACACACCAGTGTCGTCAGAATTCTCCGCCCATCCATCTTTGGGCTCTCCTTTCCTCCACACTGGTTCTCTCTCTATTCTGACCCAGTTTGTTCTTTTCTTCTTTTTAAAAAAGGTTTATTTGTTTTTATATTATGTATATGGTTGTTTTGCCTGCAAGAACATCTGTGATTCACATACCTGCAGTACCTATGGAGGCCAAAGAAGGATGTCGGGTTTTCCTGAACCTGGAGTTAGAGATGGTTGTGGGCTGCCGTGTAGGTGCAGGAAGTAGGACCTGAGTTCTTTAAAAGAGCAGCCAGTGCTCTTAACTGCTGAGTCATTTCACCAGTCCCTTATATTGTTTTTATTAATATTTTTAAAGGCATTACTATGTAGTCCCAAATTGTGTCAAACTAACAGTGATGCTCCTGCCTCAGCATCCCAAGCATAAGGATTGCAAGGGTGAGCCACCATGCTAGGATTCTGCTTTGTCCTTAAATTCAAAGAGTACCTCCTAGTTTTAACCCAGAGTAGGGAGCTTCTCCTTATGGGCTCTGATTGGCCTTTAGAGAGTAGAGTGCTTGCCTCCGACCAGTCGTTGGGAAGTGGGCCCAATGCTTGTTCTCCAGGTTTTACCCTTTCGGATTTCCAGATCCTTAGAGGTGGTGTCAGGCAAAGAACAACATAGATCCGGGGAGAGCTAAAGCTTTCTTCCTCGTTCTCCCCAATCCCAAACAGATCCAGAGGGCTGGGGAAAAGGTGGGGTGAGGGGTAGGGGAAGAGGGTGGGGAAGGGATGGGAGGAGGGCTGGGGGAGGGGCATAGGAGAAGGGTAGGGAGGGGATGGGAGAAAACTGTGGAGGGGGGAGAAGGGTGGGATGGGCAGGCAGCTCTCAGCTGAGTGGGAGCTGTTGTTTTGGTTACTTTCCTCACTAGTGCACCCCATGCCTGGGGAGAAGCAGTTTGTGGAAGAGGGTTTATTTTGGCTGACAGTGTCAGGATAAAGTCTGTCATGGTGGGGAAACTAGCCATTAGTCAGGAAGCAAAGGAGATGAGTGGATGCTTGCTCAGCTCACTCCCCTCGCCCTCACCCCCCCTCCGCCTGGCTGAGCCCCCAGCCTACAGGATGGTGCTGCCTACATTCAGGGTGCGCCTTCCCTGTTCTGCCAAACCTTTCTGGAAACACCTTCATAGGTGTGTTTCCATGGTGATTCTAAATCGCATCAAGCAGACACTGAAGAGTAACCATCATAAAAACTGAAGCTAGAGCTGGCTGGGGGAACTCTGTGGGCAAGGCTCTGGCATCCAGGTGGGCCCACCTTTCTAACTCTGCAGCCCCGGCAAAGCCTCATCGATCGCCAGGTTCTCACTGGGAGAAGTTGTCTTCATCCCTCAGCAGCCAGGGGCCACACAGAGACACGATCTGGGGGGTCCTCATTCACCACAGGCTGTCATCCAGATGGCACTGAGCCTTTCCCCTGGGGAGATACACAGGGATGTTGGCAAGACCATCCTGGAGGAAATCACCACCTCGTAGAGAGTCAGGATTTTCCCAGAAGTCTCAGGCCAGCAGCTCCCCCGTGGCCATCTGCCAGTTCATGGGGTTCCATCTCCCAATCTTTCCGATCTCCCGATCTTCCAGCCCTTGTCTTTCTTCTCGTTTCCCCTTATTATCCCTACAACGCCACACTGTGCCTCTGTCCGTGAGTCCCCAGCTGATAGAGCTAGTCTCATTTTCTTATGGCTAAGAAGATCCAATGCTCACAGGGAGCACAGTGTCAATCAAATGTTCTGGGATGGTTAGCTTTACCTGTCAGCTGGCTGTGAATCCCCTGAGAAGAAACATTCCTGAGGGATTGTCTACACTGGTTTGATGTGTAGGCACGCCTGAGAGATTTTCTCCTAAATGATGTGGAGGGACCCATCCACCTGTGGGTGGCACCATTCTCTAGGCCAGGTGCAGCAGTCCAGGCCGGTCCTGAATTGTGTGAGTGAAGACATTGAACTGAGCGAGAAAGCAAGCATGCACTTACTCTCTGCTCTTGCCTATGGATGAATTCCTGCCTTGACGTCCCCACAGTAATGGGCTATAACCAGAATTGTCAACTGAAATAAGCCCCTTCCTCCCCTCAGTTGCTTTTCTGCCGGGTATTTTCTCACAGCCAAATAAGCTAGGACACGTGTGGCGCGCCCCTTGACCAGCAAGGAAGAACAACCACGAAGTCGAGGATCCTTCTCAAATCACACTTTATTGGAGCCTCTTGGTTGAAGGGAGAGCGGGAAGCAAGAGAGAGCAGGAAGTGAGAGAGAACAAGAAGTGAAAGAGAACAAGAAGGAGAGAGAGAAAGAGAGAGAGAGAGAGAGAGCAAGAAACAAAAGAGAACAAGAAGAGAGAGAAAAAGCGAGAGAGCAAAGGCCAAGCGGCACCTGCTTATATAGGTTGAAGGGACTTGGGTACTGCCCTGACTGGTGAATACCAGTCTACTGACGCTCGAAGCCTCGGGATTGGCCAGGGACAAGGCTCAATTGCGCATGTACAGGCAAAGGGCGCTCAGCCCCACGCAGCAATGCCAAATAAGGACCTGTTTACCTCCAAGCTGAAGGACTGCCGGCACCATCTTGTAATGGCGATAATCGGATGGCTCCTTACAGACATGCTTTAAAGGCCAGGACCCTCTGAACACCAGATGTCGGTCCTGACTGGGACTCGGTCTGAAAATTACAACCAGGAAAAGACACCTGGGGAGCCTTTAGGCAGCTGTGACCAGGAGACTGGGCCGCACAAAGGAGCCGCTGAGGCTGTTGAAGGTGAAGGAAGACATGCCCTTTCTGTGAGCATGCCTCATCATTTAGCATGAAGCTCTGTAATGTCTGTGCTTTACTTTTAACTGTTGTTTGTTTTTTAGACAAGTTTTCACTACGGAGTCCTGGCTAGCTTGGAACTTACTGTGTAGATCAAGCCCCCAACCCACCAAGATCCTCCTGCCTCTGCTTCCCAAGTGCAGGCATTAAAGATGCCTACCACGTCTGTCTACATCTTTCTTACATACCTTATTTATTTATTTATTTATTTATAATTGTTTTTGGTTTGATTTGGTTTGGGGTTTGTTGTGGGAGTAACTTCCGCTGCCTCAACCAATAGTCGCTGAAATACGAGCCCACAGTGCAGCGGGGAGCGACTTCCGCTCAGTCAGCCAATAGCTGCTGAAATACCAGCCCACTGGGGCGTGGTATATTTCTCTTTTAAAAAGAGAAGCAGATCCGGGTCAGGCTCTCTTGGTTCCGGCTCTTGGTTCCGGTGCTTGCTCCTGGCTCCTGCTCCAGCAACTAGGCTCCCTTCCTGACGGTTTATGGTGTATGTAAGTTTTACCCCCCAAAATAAATAACCCCTTAAAACATAACTGGTGTGGGATTGATTCGCCGATAGGGGTTTTTGTTTTGTTTCGTTTTGTTTTTGAGACAAGGTTTCTCTGTGGCTCTGGTTGTCCTGGAACTCGCTCTGTAGACCAGGCTGGCCTCAAACTCACAGTGATCCGCCTGCCTCTGCCTCCTGAATGCTGGAATTAAAGGCATGTGCCACCACCACCCCGCCCTGCAGTTCTGCCTTTTGAACTCAGGTTGTCTGGCTTGGCAGCAAGTGCCTTCCTCTGTGAGCTGTCTCACTGACCCCGATCTTGCTACTTTTTCCCTGACTTCTCTTCTTATCTTTCTTCATCAACACACAGTGGCTACCATATCAGAAACCTGGCTACCATATTACTATATATATATATATCAACTTCCTGCCCCCTAGTTGTACCTGACTGGGTCTCTGACCCAAGCTGGGCCAATGGGCTTCCTCTAGGGAATTTGAAATTGGGACAGAGAGAGACTCAGCTTCAGTCTGGTTTATTTCTTGCCAGGAGACATGAAAACCTAGCAAATGTGAGGAAGAGGGAGTCTCTGCTCAGCGGGTGGGGCACTGATGTCAGTCTACCACACAGGAGATAAAG